CATAGAAGCACCTGCAGGGTTTGACGCGCTATGCTTCAGGGAACTGGCAAGCTGGTCAAAGCAAGACCTGATCGTGTGTTGGACGTATGCATGTATGTAGATGTGGTATACACGTACTGAATCGAGTTCCTCTGCTGCTCGTAAGCGTCCCGATGCGCTTTGACTTCGATGAGCTGGGCTTCGAGCGTCTTGATGCGCTCGTTCATCAGGTTCAGCTGCGTCTGTTGCATATATGCGTCCTGGTGATGGTGAGAGAGAGATTGGCACAGTAATGTCTTGCTTACCTGCTGAGCATGAGTCCACTGGCTCTGATTACCGTAGCCCCCAGACATGTGCGAATAGTTTGACACCGAGCGAGAATGCGACTGGTCATCGTGAGCGTCGATACCAGAGTTGTGACCACCATAGAAACTCGAAGACGAGAGGGAACCGTGGAGATTATGAGACAAGGCTCCACCGCTAGCAAGAGACACCGCAGAAGAGCCCATGCTGAGCCCAGGGAACGTGTTCGGAGGGATGGATGACATAGCAGGAGGTCTTACGCGTACACGTAGAGCAAAGAAAAACGAAGAAAAAGAGCACAGGGAGGAAGCGCCGACGCAAGCTAGTAGCATTCCATACCAGAAAAGGCTTCTGATTATGAAACCACAATATCCTAACATATCACTCACCTTGTCCGCCTAGATATGTTTTCCCCAGAGTTAACCGCCTAGACAGAAGCAAGCTGTGTTGTGTATGTGTTTCATTAGAATACATTGACGCCCCCACAATGCGCCCACAATTCATTTCCACAACCGAGCTGCGTCGGTCTCGCTTAGTGTATTCTGGGAAGCCGGGATCCGCGTCCCTGAGCATGGACCGGCAATTCGGCTATTTCATTCCGCGTTCCTTTTGCCACAGTTTCCATAACATTGGATTTATTGTACATACATTCACGCGTTGCAAGGAGCTAGAACATGGTGGCGAATTTAAACTAATATTACATATCTACGCGTTGGGGAAACTCAGTTAGGAGATCTCCTCATCGGAGTCGAGACCAGTAATATCTACCGACCGCTGGCTTTTGTAGCGCTTGTGAGTACGTTCGAGCGCGTCAATCAAGCTGCTAGTGGACGTTGGAATCAATCTCTTGCTGTCATCTTCGATGTCTGTGATGTCTGCGACCATGGTGGTATCGTGGTCGTCTATCGCTGGGAGTGTCTCGTCTCCATCTCTGTTGTCTCTTGCTGCAAGGGTCGCATCTGCAGGAGGGGCATTGGAGACGGGCAGTAGCAGTGTCTCGTTCTCGCACAAGACGTCAAGAGGAGGTGCTGGTGGGAGAAGAAAAGGTGGGGCTGGCTCGTAGAGAAACAGAGAGCGTCGCCCAGGTGTGACAAGGTTGAGACGAGGGTTGATGCAGTAGAACCCATTGGGCTCGCTGAATCGCTGGAGACGCGCACTAACCGGCTCTCCAACAAGGTAGAGCCGGTTCTGTGCAGCAACACTACTCGCCTTGCTATAATACAAGTGATATTGAGTGACTGGATGTATGCGGAACGTTCGTAGTACTCACTCTGCAATTGCAAGTCCAGTGTTCCATTGGTGGTTGTTCACGGACTGGTTCTCCTCGTAGAACTCGTCTCGCGATGCCCGCTGACGGACAATTATATTCTGTATCTGTAGTTAGATATGGTCATAATAGAATAAGAGATTACACGCACCACTTCACGCTCTCGATCGCTGGGCGGAACGGAAAACCTGAACAGAAAGTCTCCAAACTCAGATCCAGCAGGTGTGTGAGAGTTGTCGGCCATGTTCAGGATGACGTTGTCCCCGGTGATGTTGATGTTATAGAGCGGCATGGTTTGGACGACTTTTTCGAGGGGAGGGGGACGAGGAAAAGAGAGGGATGGGCGGAGGTGCACTCGAGAAGGAGCTGTGTGATGTGCAAGGAGGATATTGATGGAATGTGAAGGGTTTGGCGTGACGTCAGTGTAGTGTAGGTGGTGTGCACGCAATTTGAATGAGTATAATGCTATAAGAATGAGAGACAACAAAACATACCTATAGTTCGATATCGTCTCCTCCTGGGTCGTCATTCTGAAGGTCTGTGGGGTCACCTATGTAAGTAGCGACATCAAATCCAGGTTTTTCTACGAGGAAAAAGCGGTCTTCGGCAAGTCTGGTGCTGGGGATGGTGGGACAGTGCGGCGGCATTGCAATGAGCGATTTTATTTGACGGACATCGATTACGGTCGCGGATTCTTCACCCAGATGGCGACAGGTCCATAGTGTCTGTGAGGACATGCGAAGGAGGTCGGGATCGGGTTCGGAGTATTTCCAGATCACCGCGACTGTGCGAACGTCTTCTGGAGCATCCAGGTCGTCAGAGGGAGGCGCCATGTCGATTTGTGTGTAGTAGATTACTTCTCCAATATGTAGTCGGCCTTCGTGTTCGTACTGACAGTGCAATATATTAGCTTTTGCCTATTAAAAAGAGAGATCTATGTGGCTTACCTTGATATTGCGAGCTATCCGAAGCTGCGCTCGCTGCGTGGCATTCTCTCGCCACGCCGACCGGGTGATCTGACCGTTGGGTAAGTGTAGTCGGGCCCATCTGCGAAGGCGATGCGGCTCCCGACCCATGTAACGTGCTAAGGCAGTGTGCGCGGACCCTGTCGGAAACATACGGTAGCGGTCTCGCGCTCTCAGTAGAAAATAGCCGTCCCCGACGTCTTCAGCCAGCGAGGACATCGTCGGGGGAGGATCTAGCTCGGGAAACATCGCCTTGAGACCATTTTTAGCGCACCGTCTGACGCCTTCTCGTGAGTAGTTCTCGTACGGATTCGAGGGCTGTCTGATCTCGCGGCCGAGGTTCCCTATAGTCCGTTCCATAGTCCACTGAGCGTAGCAGATAGGCGGCCCCTTTGCGATCGTCTCGTCGACCAAGTGCGTTACCTGATGAATACTATGACGAATAAAATGGAGGCGGTCTTCTCGTTTTTGATAGTAGAGGCGCTCGTACTCTTCGTAGAATGACATAAAGCAGCGCTGGGCCTCGAGTAGTTCATCCAGAGAAATAGAATGTTGGCTGATGATTCGGAAACCTCGGATAAGCTTGCATATATTCATCCAGTACTCGAGGGGCAGGAGCTCGTACATGAGCGCGGAGACGTAGCCGAGCAACCAGATCTCAAATTCAAAAGTCCTGTAGCCCGACGTTAGCTCTTGCTGGATGTTGCGGGCCTTGTGATCGAAAAGACCAGGAATATACATGCCGAGCATCTCAACGTCGAGACCGTGAGCTGCCCAGACGTTCTCGTCGCGTAGAACTGCGAAGGGCCATGTCTCGGGGTGATCGTGCAGGCCGTGGTCGATCTCGCCTCTCCAGAGTTCGACGAAGAGATTAGCTAGTAGGCCGACTAGATGCATTTGATCGGGTGCGAGGCAGCGAGGAACCTGGAGGGTGTGCTTGGGGTGTAGACCGAGCAGTATGCTGGGCTTAGTTAGCCCTGTGTCCCTTCTAGCCCTGTCGTATGCTGTGATCCCTTTGGCCGAGACAATCTTCTTCAGATTGTCGTAGTAGTCCGTCGACGCTGTGGGTGGGAGGTCGTAGACAGATATATCAGCGTGATTTGATCCTGGTAAATCGTACGGCAGATCTGGGCGGGAGAGCGCTGGATAATAATTCTTGCCGTGAGTTTTGCGTCGCCCGAGAACCCCACAGTACATGCGGCACCCGTTTTTGCCGCAGTGACCGCACATTCCGTTGAAGTATGTGAGTCCGGGTCCGTCAGCAGTGGCGAGGAAGTGGTGGATGTGCGATTTGTATCCACGTTGCTGCGATGCGTTCCAGATGCCGAGACCTTCCCTCTGAAGGGCTGAGACATGATGATACCCGGGAAAAAGAAACGAGTCGACGTTACGAGGGTTCTTGGGACCAGGAATGAAACCACCGGGGAAAACGTGAGTTTTCTTGTAGCGCTTGTCGGGCGAGAACTCGAGTATAACCCATATATACATCCAGCAGTCTGAACCTCTAGTTTTGAGGAGCTGGGCGCCATCGAGAGAGGCCATAACGACGATGTCATCGTCGGTGATCTTCTGCTCGATCAGAGATTGTATATAGTCAGTGCCACAGATATAATCATCAAAATTTTGAATAATCCTCCCGTTTCGAATCGCGTCTTCGAGGACCTCGTGAGTCTTCCTGACGCGATAGCTGAGATCTTCGGCTGTCTGTCGATCTCGAAAGAGCGCCTGGAGAATCGGACCAAGGGGAATCGTATGAAATTTGCGTGATACACGTTTTCCACTGGCCTTGAGAATGTCCTGGTCATAGCGATGTCGTCCACACTGAGAACAGCGTTGATCGTTCTCGAAGGGGCCAGTAAATGCCAGACAAGTATCCCAGCACATGTCGAACTCAATAGATGAAACACCAGTGATCTCGGTTATGAGTTTCTCGAGAGCCTCAAAGTGGAGAAGGCCATCTGCGTCAGCAAAAGTCTGGGCTTCCGACACTCGTATCTTTTCAAATGTGTCCCTCGAGGAGTGTTCGAGGGCAAAATAGCTTCTGATGCTGTGTTTTTGCAGGGGAGTGAGAGGCGTCGGGGGTTCTTGAGGCGGATTACGCAGTCGTTCGATTGTTTCTGGTGTCAGTTTCGAGACAGGATCGTCTAAGGAGGCATTGGCTATCCTCTTGATGAATCCGAGCGCGTTCTTGGACTTCTGGTTTCTAGCGAGACGGATGAGCTCGTCGACGTCTACCTGTGGGTATACACGAGCTTCTTGCAACACCATTTCGAACTCGGGGCCCTGATAGATAATTAGTTAGACGGCTATGACATCAGATAGATTGAGAAAATATACCCTGTCACTGCCTGGTGGCGGTGGGGAACTTGCAACATGCTGTTCATCAGAGTTATACTCTGGTTCTTCAGCACGAAGACGTTTCTCTGGAGTAGAACGAGAGTCGTCGCCTTGGTCGTCGCGTGCATGCTTGCCCAGAGCGCTAGATCGATCACTAGATTGATCGAGATCGACAGAGTCCCGAGAGTCGCCAGTAGTCTGCTGCCCAGAACCTGAAGCCAGAGGTTGATTCGTTCTGTAAGGATTCTCGAGATGACGCGCATTTCCCTTGCTATAAGCTCGGAGATATTCGCGTTCTTCCTCAGTCTCAGCCAGACCGAGATGTGTGCGAAATGTTCGCAGGGCAACCGAGTGTGGTTTGCCGCCATAGTAGTACTTGCATATGCAGTCGACGCGTTTGTTGGGAACCACAGCATTGGCAGGGTTAGCCTTTGCGTTACGGAGCTTGCCAGCGCGATCGGGCATGTCGAGGTGCAGGTTAGACTTATGTGATCGATTTTTTTTGCAGTGCTGCATGCACACGGCGCAGCGTCAATGCCATTGCTATTCGTAGGGACAAGTGTTAGGGGATCTTATGCTCGTTTATGGTAGCCGAGACGCGTCTCGGTCACGGGTTTTTATTTTGCAGAACACGACATAAGATCACATAGAGCGTTTCCTAAATTGGGTCAGGTAC